ATACTTGAATATACTTAAAACTGAGAAAATGTTGCAATTTTGTGACAAACAATTCTCGACGTGCGTGGCACGTCATTCCAGTGCAAGAGGTTAACCTCTTGCGCTGGCAACTGATTGCGGACCATAACGAGTGACCAAATTGTATACAATAATTCGTCGCTTTCTTTTTGAACTCGCCGGTACGATATCACTGGATAGAAATTACTGAGAAGTAATAAATTTGTTATTTGTTTTACCTACTTAATTATACTTGAATATACTTAAAACTGAGAAAATGTTGCAATTTTGTGACAAACAATTCTCGACGTGCGTGGCACGTCATTCCAGCGCAAGAGGTTAACCTCTTGCGCTGGCAACTGATTGCGGACCATAACGAGTGACCAAATTGTATACAATAATTCGTCGCTTTCTTTTTGAACTCGCCGGTACGATATCACTGGATAGAAATTACTGAGAAGTAATAAATTTGTTATTTGTTTTGCCCACTTAATTACTTGAATATACTTAAATTTGAGAAAATGTTGCATTTTTGGGACAAACAATTCTCGACGTGCGTGGCACGTCATTCCAACGCAAGAGATTATAAAGAAATAAACATTTAATTCTCGAGGGTAAATGAAAGCATAAAAAGTGGCTGCCACTGTGGAAAAGCGAGAAAGTTGAACGTCTTTTCCCACGTTGATCAAGAAATTGCATCGCTCGTTAGAATGAAATGTACAAAAAAATAAGTGTACATATTGGAAAATAACAAACGGTAAACATATTATTAGCATATTACTAGGATATTTTGCAATTTTAATCTCTCGGTTCGGCGATTCTGTTAAACTCTGTCGTAACTACTGTTTCCTTTTCTATCGCTAACAGTATTTTCAACGGAACTCGCGCGGAGTCACGCGATAGAAATGATTGAATAAATAAAGAGCAGCGAAGCTGAAACGTTCGTTTGTCTTTGACTTTGACTTTGACTTTGAAGAAAGTACATCTCGAGAAAAGTACGTACTTTTCGCGATAAACTTTCAGCTTTTAGCGTGACACGTGAGGTGTCAAGTTTTCACAGTATCAATACTTACAAATAGATAACTAGAAATATCTGAATTTTGATATTTTTGAATGTATGGCTGTTGAAAAAATTTTTGACAACGTACCATGCAGACAGCGTGCTCGTCGAAGGGGTTCCATGGTACAGAGTCAGGATAATGTCCCAAAACTTTGCTCTTATACGCTCGGTCCAGAGGTGTACATTGCAACGAGTCGCCTGAAACGAAAGGTATAACAGTTTGTTAACTCTGCGAGTTAAATTTGAAACTCTTCAGTCACTTACACAACGTTCCTTCCTCGCGGCGAAAGAATTAAAAACTTTTTTTTTTGTCACCAGTGTAGGCCAAAGGAAAATTCACACGTCAGAGGTCAATTAAATGTACATACGTGTACACGTCGAGCGTGCACTATCTTCAGAGAAGTCAGAAGCGTGACATTTATAATCGCAGACAACACTCTGCCTCGCAAATGATGAACAGTTATGCTTGTTAACGATAAGAGGAGACCGTGACCTTTTAACCAAATACTTAAACACGCTCTTCGTGTGATATAAAGGCCTGACTTTTTAATCAATCTCTTCTTGAGACTGAACAAGATAAAACCTGTACTCGATACCAAATTCGTTCGAAACGAAGTTCGTTCTTTCAGATTGTCAGTAACGTAAAATTTTCGAGGTTGCAGCGGATTTGTAAAAATTATTTCCCAAGAATTACACGACCGTGATCCTTCGAAATGTCAATGAAGAAAAATTTTCAATGTTTAAAAATTATTTCTCGGGAATTACACGACCGCAGTTATATCTTTCCGTGTTGAACAACGAAGAATATTAGCTGCACCGTTCCTGCGAAGTAACGAGATAGTTCCGCGAGGTTATTATCGCGTGCTGCATTGTGAAGAACGAAATCACCGCGATCCGATTCGTCTGATTTGCAATCTCGTTACGATACGCCACGTCCTCTCGAAAACAAGCAAAGTAAACGATACTTTCGAATAGTAAAAAATTTCTGCTACTCTCGATCGCTACGTCGTTGCCAGTTCGGTCCAAAAATTTCCTAACACTTTCCAACGAGAAGTCCCTCCTCGTAGACAGAGTGTGAAGCCATCGTCGCGGCCATAGTTCAAATTCCTGGCAGCACGAGGAACGTACAAATCGGTCAAACGTTTCTATATGTGAGAACAGCGACACGCTACACTGTTACTTTGCGTTGAAGCAAAGAGGAGATTGCACGTTAAAAAAGAAAAAAAGTTTTAGCACGGATGCATTTACTTCAGTTTGCACATTGTTCTTGGTCCAGCACGACCTAAGTGCATCTTAGAAGCTGCGATTCTTACAGCGAGAAAAAAATGCAAGCGAAAGAGAGAAAGAGAGAGAGAGAGAGAGTTCTCCTTTCCTGAGAAAAATTAGAATCTCACTCCACGGCAACGTCGGCAACTTGTTATTGAACGTGGTACATATCCCAGAGCAGCTCGACCTGAATGAGACTGTTGAAAGTCTTGGCTGTGTTCCAGTTGCTTGACGTGCGACGAACACAACGCCAACCCTTGTACAGGGTTAATCGTTCATGATCGAACCAGCCACCCAAGGAGGCGATGGGATGTATGTGATGTGGGCTGGTCGAGCGAGAATTTGATTACACAGGGTGTATAATTGGCGACCCTCTTCTATGCATTGAGTATAATTTTTTTCTTTTCTTTTCACATCTATGGTATTTTGGTCACTGGTATACGAGGCACTAATCTATCATGTACAATTGTATTGTGATCTTAAATTAATAAATTACCATATCTCAAATAAGTATTTTATAAAATAAATTACCATCTCTCAGAGTATGAAATTATTTATAAAGTGAAGAGAATTAAATATAATTAAACCTCTTCTATGCACTGAGTGCAATATTTTTTTTCATATCTATGGTATTTTTGTCACTGGTGAACGAGGCACTAATCTACAATTGTATTGTGATCTTGTATATTTTATAAAATAAATTACCATCTCTCAGAGTATGAAATTATTTATAAAGTGAAGAGAATTAAATATAATTAAACCTCTTCTATCCACTGAGTGCAATATTTTTTTTTATATCTATGGTATCTTGATCACTGGTGAACGAGACACTAATCTACAATTGTATTGTGGTCTTGTATATTTTATAAAATAAATTACCACATCTCAAATAAGTATTTTATAAAATAAATTACCATCTGTTAGAGTATGAAATTATTTATGAAGTGAAGAGAATCAAATATAATTAAACTTCTTCTATGCACTGAGTGCAATATTTTTTTTCATATCCATGGTATCTTGGTCACTGGTGAACGAGACACTAATCTACAATTGTATTGTGATCTTGTATATTTTATAAAATAAATTACCATCTGTTAGAGTATAAAATTATTTATGAAGTGAAGAGAATCAAATATAATTAAACTTCTTCTATGCACTGAGTGCAATATTTTTTTTCATATCTATGGTATCTTGGTCACTGGTGAACGAGGCACTAATCTACAATTGTATTGTGATCTTGTATATTTTATAAAATAAATTATTTTATAAAATAATTTTATTTTATAAAATAAATTATCACCTCTCAAATAAGTATTTTATAAAATAAATTACCATCTCTCAAAGTATGAAAATATTTGTAAAGAGAATCAAATATAATTAACCTCTTTTTATACACTGAGTGCAATATTTTTATGTCTCTATAGTATCTTGGTCACTCGTAAACGAGGCGTTAATCTGTCACAAAATAGTTTGTAAAATAAATTATATACCATCATCTCCAAGTATGAAAATATCTGACAATGAGATGAAAGGAAGGGAGAATTCTATATATTATACAAGTTCTACAATTATCTACAGGTCAGAAAAATGTAATGAAAAATGCTGACACAATACGTGCCAGTTATAAACTAATTAAAAAGTTATACTCGTGATTCGACACGAGCTGCAATTTCACAACGGTGCTTCTGAAAATTAAGCTTCGAAGTTTCGAGGGGAACTCCTCCGCGTCCTTTTCTGTCCCTGCAGTTTAACGATATCGATTTATGTCAGATCCTCCCTTTCGTCCGAAAGTTGGGATTCAGAAAAGTTGCGAAAAAAAGATAGAAAAACTGGAGAAAGAAGAAAAAGCGAGAGGGAGTTGTGATACGAGTGCCATGCAGTCCAAGTGACTTGTAAAGTGGTTGCAGAAAGCAGTCACTCGGACCCCCCAAGTGGTCGCCGCTTTTTTAAAATCGATTGTTTGCTTTCTCTTCTCATTCAGCTCTATTACAACCGAAATAAATATTTCAAACTAAATTAAAAAAAAAAAAACGCTTTGTACGTTATTGTTGTAGTAACCACTCGATATTTTTAAATTGCAAAAAAAAAAAAATAATAATAATAATAATGATTCGGAATGCAAAGGGTTAAAATTGTCGCGTTGTCGTTAAGTTTCCTTCGGAACTTATTTTTTTCTCTCTTTAATATCAAGCCCGCGCACGATAACAGTTCTACCTACCGGTTATCTAGCGCAATCGATAAGGAGAAGAAGGAACTACCCAAGCTTCCCCCTAACATCTCCACGCTTCATTTACCCCCGAAACTTTATCTACTATACGCAAGTCAGAAACGACCCTTTCACCCTCGCAAAATTCATCTCGCGTTAACTATCGCGGTTTTCCACCTCTTGGCGGTCTGTCTCCCGAGCAATTTTGCTCCCCAGAGCCGGGGCACGTCTGAAATACAAAGGAGTTTAACAAGCAACTAGGAAAATCTGTTGCAACCTCGTGAGAAACACGAAACATTTGCATAATACTTCCGTCTGGCTGGCTTTTTCCCAAGAAGATGCGCCTTCTTAAAGGTACGACGTGCCACGCTTGTGTGCCTGTGTATCTCTATGTTTGCCTCTGCGCACGCATCTTACACACACAGTGTCGCGGATTTTTACGCATTCGTTGGGAATTTGGGAAAATACACGCGATAAAATATGAAAAAATATATATACAAAACGTCAAGAAACAAAATATCTGCTGCTAATGTTCGATTCAATGAATATTAGTTTGAGTCAAACCCTGTCAACCCAGGGCGGAGATTAGGTTTGACAGAAAAAGCTACAGGAAGTTCTGTGAAAGATGTCAACTACGAAATTCAAGAAGGAAGAGTCAGAAATTGAGAAACAAAGGGAGAATAAATTCACGAAAACAGAATATAAAATATATAAAAAATTACACGGAGGGTCCGCCAATTATCGAATTCGTAACTACATGTTTGAACGTTGATCTCGCTCGAAATCACGGTACAACACCAGAGAGCACGGTGTCGTCGCCAGAAATCTGTTCGGAAACATTTCACCGATTCGCTGACTCTTCTGAATCTTTACAACGTCGCATTTTTATGTTTTACGATTCGAAGAACGATTCGTCGACGGCCGTTGCCACCGTTTCTCTCTCGTCGAAATATCTCGACGTCCAAACGCTTTTGGCATTGTTCCCCGACGAAATTACTCGTGGGCCGGTGCATCGGTCATGACAGTTATCACCGTGCACGATGTGCAAACGCCATCGTCAGAGTGTTTTTATTTTCCTCGAGGCCGAATCGAAGGGAAGTAGTTACGTGACGATCGGGGAGTTTCGTTTTTCTCCTTGGTATTCCCCCGACGATATTCCCGGCTGCTAGCTGCCGCAATTCCAGCTGATTGCTCTGAAAAGAGCCTCCGAATAACAAGCCTCGCATTGTGTTCCTCCTCCGTTCTGCATAATTCTTCCAGCTCTCCTTCCTTAACTCCGTGTGCAAAGTGTAAAGCGCGAAATCTACCAGGGACTTTTTGTTGGAATTTTTCGAATAGAAAATTGCATTTTAAAAGAACAATATATATATATATATATATATATTTATATCTATATTTATATATTTATATTATATATATATATTTATATCTATATTTATATATTTATATTATATATATATTTATATCTATATTTATATATTTATATTATATATATTTATAGCTATATTTATGTAATAAAAAATATATACATATATATATTTATATTTATTTAATACATATATATACATTTATATTTATTTAATAAAAAGTACATACATATATATAATATATTATTTTTTCAAATGTAATCTCCTATCCGAAAAATTCCAATAAAAAGTGTGTATATATATTTGTATGTATGTTTCTTAATATTTCATCATAAATATATAAATCTATATATATATTA